GAGAGAGAGAGAGAGAGAGAGTTCGCCTCGCGGCGGGCAGCCTGCCTGCGTGAATTGCACGCTGGGACGCTGCAACGGAGAAGAGAAGGAACTTTTGCAGAGAAGGTTGTGAGACCTGCGGGCCAGACCTTAAGTCTACCTCGTAAAGTCCGCCTTAAAACTCTCAGCAGCGATTGTTTGCAGATCGGAATGGATCTTTCTGCTTGTGCCAAGCCGGACAGCACATTGCAGAGGTAATCCCACTGAAGCTCCAGACTTGCTTTGCCTAAGCCTGGGAGCCAAAATGAAGTGTAGGTCGATGTCTACAGAGCTTCAGACACCATCGGATCTTCCTCAGTAGTCGTCTGCTTCCCCTGCGCACCGACTGCCGGGGTTGCGCGTGACCGTCTAGATACCCCCAAAGCTTGGATCTGAGTGATTAGCGACGAGGCTTCCCCTCGTGATTGGAATCAGGGAAGCAAGTAGAGGCGCGGGATGACGCATTGGGATTCCTGGGATTCCCGTGGTCATACGCCCTGTCACCATGTCCAACCTACGATGCCAGGATGAGAGCCGATTTCAGCTCACCTCTTGTGCCCAATCCTCCTAAGTGGAACTAAGGCCCTGAAGAAACTCAAAATTCATGCCTGCTGGAGGTGCAACACGAGCGTTTCAGGCGCGTGAACCTGTGCAAAGCACGCGGGAGAGCGAGGTAGGCCGATGCACCAACAACAACACGCGGCAGCAATATGGACACAGCTGCAGGCTGCAGGCGGCGGCAGCAGCGGCAGCGTCATCGTCAAACACCGCTATGAGCATCAGCTGCATCAAGTGCTTCGTGGTCTGACCCTCGTCCAAAGCAACACTACTATGACTATGACTATGCTACCAAAGCGCCGACGGGTGAATGAGACAGCTCCGTGCCCGCTGCTCGGCTTACACTCCTAGAACCACGAGAGCTGCAATCCAACCCCGCACACCTTTGAGCGACCAAATCTTGCAGAAGCCTTTCGCAGGTCCCATGCCCACGCCTCCTTTGCCAGATCTTGGGCTGTCTTCCCGCGCGAGTTGCGCAGGTCCACGCGCGCGCCTGCTTGCGTGCAGGCAGATTCGCTCTTGACGGTTGTTCCTCCATGCGTTCCTATCACTCTTGTTGACTCCGACGGATTTTCGCTAATAGTGACTACAACTTCCAGTCATGGCACTTCGTATTCTTGCACGCTGGTCAAGGAAGTCGAGCGTTTCGAGAGCGACATACCTCTACCCCTGTACAACCCGAAGCTGAAACTTTGAGGGAATCTTATAGAACCCTCTAGCACCCTTTGAGGGCTTAGGAGCCCCCTAACTGCAAAACCGAAACCACCGAAGCCCGGAGTCCGAGCAGGGCAGGGTCCTGCGGCGAGCAAGACGTACGCAGCTCCGAAGGAGCCACAGAGAATGCTCAGCATCAGGGGCGTGGCGCGAGAGTGGTGGTAGGCGAGTAAGCCTGAAATTTGGAATCGAGAAAAACCTCTCACTTTTGGGCGGGATTCAGGACGCAGGATTGAAGTAGGATCTTTGACTCCAGTAAAATGATGCATCTTGCGCTGCCCCGTCACCTGGTCAGCCTTGGCTCTTCTTCTGCTGGCTGCTTTGAGACTTTCGGGCTAAGGTCTGCTAGGCGCAAGCTTAAAGTTGGAGCTTATAGTTCTTTGTATATCATGCCCATGACACCCTTCCAAGACAAATGAATCTGAAGCCAAGCGACTGAGTCGGGAATCGAGCGTGGTTCGCCGTATCTGGGCGATCCTTGCGAATCGGTGTCACGGCTGAATCCTCACCCTTTTGTCCTCTTAGCCATGTTTCTTCATTACCATAAACAGCTTTCATATCACACTGTTATTACTCTCAGGGTCATTGTGGTTGCTGCTGTTGTTGCCATTATACCTTTCTGGGTATTGTCATCACCTCGGAGAGCTAGGCAAACGATACCAGTAGCCTTCTCACCAGTTCTTGTCCCAGCATCGTGGCATGGACTCACAGGCTTTGCATCTACCGATCTAACCCCAGCCAGGCTCTTGCGCCTAGACCTAGATACTGCTACAAATAATCACAGAACACCACAGTTGCGATTGCAGCAATACTCAGATAGTGATGATAATAGTCTTCTTGGTATGAATACAGCAACCAGTAATTACAGGCCAGCAACAATAATATTGGTACTGTAGCAGTCGTCCTAATGTTACAATCAGCACGAGGCACCTGAACAGTATCCACCAGGATGGCTGCTTTGACCATCGAATGTCGAACTGCTCGTTGATGTCTGCCCGGCCCTCGCGTCACGTTCTCTCGAGAACTCTGCTTGCCGTCGTCGCCAAACGATATGCCATCGCGGTGAGCTAGCAGAGATATCAGAATCTTTCACAGCTCGAAACCCGACGCTCAGGATTCGTGGCAGGAGGGCAGCCGGCCTGGATCAAGGCGGACACGAGGTTTGGTGAACCTGTGCATTCCACAGGATCGAAGGGGTGCAGCCGAAACAGCACTGCAGGCACAGAGACACAGCAGCAGCAGCAGCAGCAGCAGCAGCAGCAGGAGAGACAGAAGTCATCACCAGCATCAACATCATCATCACCACTATAATCATCATCATCGTCATCATCATCATCATCACAATTACCATCACCACAGTCATGGTCGCACAGCCACAGCCACCACAACCACCGCAGCCACCACCATCTCCAAAACAGCATTGCAACTGCGCAGTCAGCAGCCACAGCAGCAGCGACAGGCGGTGCACTCACCAGGTGAGTCGGCGGAAGCGGGCCTCCGCGCATGATGAAGGCGAAGTGCAAGCCATGCCTGTGGAACCCAAGCCTAACCCCAAAAGCCCCTCAACCCCTACACTCATGGGTTGCGGGTTTGAGGTTCAGGTTTTGGGGTGGTTTAACAAGCGTCTCTTGATCTTTCGGAAATGTGTCCCTTGTATCTCTGAGAACTACAATTCCAATCAGAGTCTTGATGTGGGCTGCGTCAACATGCATGATGGGTGCATACGACTTCCAGCGCTGACCTTGTTCGGCCACATCAGGCATTTCGGAAGCGAAACACAAGTTCTTCCTTTTCTTATGGATCTCGTGGAAGACCTCGAAACTCTCACGGTGCGATCCCCCAAAGTCTCACCGCTGGCACCCTCACCCCCTGAACCAATCCTGAAGCCATGCGTTGCACCTACAACCCCTACAACTTTGCTGTCATTCTATTGAAAGACTGGCTCCCTTCACTTCCACTGCTCCTAGCCCAGTTGCTGCAAGCTGTGGTTGGGCACCTGCGCGGACTTTGCTATTGGTAAGGCCTTCGTCAACACCAACACTACACTTCTTGCAAGGCAAAAGACGAGGAATGCTGATACTGGGGCATCTTGCTGTCGGTACGGTTGCAAAAGGGTTCCTGGGGCTTCAGGCATTGCCCGTCTTGGGGGCCCCTCTTTGGGGCTTCGCTTTGCTGCTTAGCTTCGCGCCTGCAGCAAGATCTCCTGCAGCGCAGCCACGGCCCCCTCTGCGCATGCCGCCAGGAGCGGCACAAGCTCGGGAAAGCACTGCGAAGGGATCTTGCAATTGAGAAGAAGCCCAGGGACATGTGGCTGGTTGCTAGGTACCAGAGCTACAGATGATAAGAGACGAGTATCAAACCTGGGGATTGCCCTGAGGCGGAAAGCCCTCGTTGCCTGCATCGTGAGGTCTCCGCCGCCCTGGCACAGGAGCCGGATTCCTTCGGCATTGTCCGCGATGCTCGCCCAATGTAGTGCAGTGGCTTTCCGGCCATCCCGACTGTTCCTCCGGAGGCTGCAACAGTCTGAATCATTAAGATATCACTGATATCACTGTACGTGCTTGTCGAAACGGTGCCAGAGTGTTTTCTCCTCTTGTTCTGGTAGCCATCAACATTGTATCTACGACGCCAATGTAAAGGCTGCTTACGCATACTACTACCACCAAACAGCAAACCCACTGCTACTACTGCTGCTCCACAACCACCACTACTCTTGCTATGATAGCAACTATTTTATGTGCTACTGTTGCTGCTGGTGGTACTGGCTACGATGTCTACGATTGTGATGCCGACTACCACGATTACGAACATGTCGATGACGACTACGACGAGGAGGACGGCGACGGCAGCGGCGGAGGCTGCGTGCTGCTGCTTCTTCTACTACTCCTACTCCTGCTCCTGCTCCTGCTCATGCTCATGCTCCTGCTACCACTACCACCACAACGAGCACCACCACCAACACCACTACGACTACTACTACTACTACTACGACGACGACCACTACTACTACCACAGCTGTTACATCTATGACGCTGGCGATGAACAATGGTGTATCACTCTGAAAAAAGCGGTTTCGCTATGGGTTGTTCTCGTTATGGTTGCTTTTAATCCTCTCTTGATTCTATGCCCGATGCTTCCTGACCAGCAGCTGGACAAATGAAATTCACACATGCTCAAACAGACTGAGGCACGGCCGCGCGCGAGCCGCCAAGAGCAGCGAGACGGCATCGTTTCTTTTGTAGCACGCTGCGATGGATAGAACCGGCATGTGCTTTGGCAGAAGAGCCTGGAGGTTCCAAGTACTCTTCTACTCAGCGCAGGCCAAGGCACAGAGATCGAGAGGTTCAAGCTGCTCTTCTACTGGGTACTTTGCCTGCTCGTGGAAAGAGCTTAAGGCGTACCCTCTATGCCCGCAAATGCTATGCACCCGTCCTCCAACTTTCCCTTGCTGGTCTTGTCGTTCGGATCAGCTCTTTGCTGCAGCAACGCCGTGATGAGCAAGGGACGACCATCCATGGCAGCGAAACACAGAGGTGACCAACCGGCCGTGTCGCGGTCAAAAATCCCGCGAAAGCCATTCCTTGGACCGACCGCACGACCTCTTGACTGATTGGCGCAAGCGCATGCTCCGGCAATAAACCTAGCTACCACACTTCAAACGCCTGTTCATCGGTCGATATACCTATCTGTCGATCTATGTTTCTGTACAAACAAACAAACAAACAAACAAACAAAACAAACAGACAAACAGACAGACAGAAATGCACGGCCGCAGACACACACACACACATACATACATACAAATATATATATATATATGTATATATATATACACACACACTTATCAAGACCTACGCACACACACACACACACATCTGTGTCTGTGTATATATGTGTGTGTGTGTGCGCGAGAGCGCGTACGTGCGCGCGATCTCACACCTGCATGCATCAAAAACACTGCTGGATCCACCTCCGCACGCAGGCAATCAGCCCCAACGCAAAGGAATGTGGGTGTGCTAATAGTCTGGGCCAATATTCAAGATGAATGGACCCATTGAAGGTCTATTCAGGCCTTCTTTCGGTCCCCGAAGGTGTTGTGTTTCTGAAACATGCCACAGCCCTGACCAAATCGGAAGAGAGTCTACAGGTAAAATACGGAGATGCTGATGTCCCCCAAACCAGTGGCCATTGACTAGCAATTGATGTCTCGGTGCAGGGGTTACCATACAAAAACTATACGGCCGCATGGCATTCACATCATGCGCCCTGTGCCTGTGTGTGCGTCTGTGTGTGTGTGTGTGAGTGTCTGAGGTCTGTTGATCTGTCTGCCCGTCCGCCTCTCTGTATGCGGTATGTGTTTATCCAGGTATGTGAACAGCCGAGCACTGACTGTCCCACACCGTCTACTTGAGCACGCCAGGGTTCTGATGCAGGAAGCGAGCGACCAAAAACCGTCCGGGATCGGCAAAGGGATCCACCTTAGCATTACTGGCGGCCTTACTATTGTTGGTACTGCCATTGCTGGATTTGAATACTAGTAGCAGCAGTCGTCGTCGTGGTGGCGGTGGTCGTGGGGGCGGCGGCGGCGGTGGGGGCGGGGGGGGGGGGTGGTGGTGGTGGTGGTGGTGGTGGTGGCCACGGCGGCAGCAGTGATGGTGATGGTCGCAATAGTAGTCGTCGTCGTCGTCGTCGTAGTAGTAGTAGTAGCA